CACGTGTCCCCAAAAGAGGAGCTCCTGAAGGGTGGGGGTCAGGGCAACTTTCCCTGGAGGACAGCCACTCCCTGGAAGGAACCTCTCCAGATGGGAGTCTCTCACCTGTTTTCCTCTCCTCATGTCTTCATCCTGGCTCAGGAGGAAGCCTTCAGCCAGGGCCACCGCCTGGGAACTGGTCTCCGCTCCACACTCTCGGACCCAGCTCTCCATCTCCGAGGGCAGGACAGTCAGGAACTGCTCCAGAAGCACCAGGTCCAGCATCTGAGCTTTCGTGTGCCTTTCTGGCTTCAGCCACTGACGGCAAAGGTGGTGGAGCCAGCTGCAAACTTCCCGGGGCCCCTCGGCCTCCTGGTAGCAAAGCTCCCTGAAGCCCTGGTGCTCTGTGTTGGATCTGGCACTGCCGCCACCCAAGCTCTCCTGCATCCTTGTTTCCCAGAATCCCCCACTGCTCCCAGTCCAGACGCCACAGGGACCATCGACTACCTCCGGGCCAGCCATCTCCTGTGCGTCCATCTTTGCTTTCTGCACTATCTTAGCCTCCAACCGGACTCGAAGATCTTCACCTGCCAGAAATTTTGAGAGAGCTGCTGGCGCCCTGCAGCCAGCTGGAGAGCAGACTCACAAAATCCTTGCCTCTTTTCCTGTGCAAAGATAAACCATGCCCAGGAGAAAGATGCTTTATCGAACCTGCCTCCCACCTCCCGGGCAGAAGTAATCTGCTAGCGCTTTTACTTTTCCAGTCCTGCTATAGGAATGTAAACCGGGCTGATGCTATTTTCGCTGCTTCGAAATTCACAGGTTTGTGTCCGGTGCAAGATGCTACTGAGAACCTCAGGCTAGGCAGAGAGGAAGAAACAGACCGCAAGGTGTGGGCAGAGGCGGATCCGGGAGGAAGGCCCCTTCCCGTTGGGGCAAGAGCATCCCAGGGTCGTGCTCAGCCCGATGCGCAGCTGCCCCGCTGCCTCCTCTCGCCCCTCTCCCTGCCGGGGCATTTCGCGGTCTCCCGGCGCGCATCTCCTCCGCACCAAAATCCACTTTGCCCGGAAGGGGAAGTGGGTGTTTCGGGGGCTTTCTAGACATCCCAACTCTCTCCCGTTAACCCTGATGGTCTGGGGAGCTCCAGCTGGACTCGGATGCAGAAAGGGAAAGAGCAATTTCCTCTCCCATCTTTTTGTGCAAGCAGAAAAGCTCCAGAAAGGGATGAGGGGGCAGCTTTTGCTGGGATTTTAATTATTGTAAGCCGTCCTGAGATGTTCTTCCATATTCGATGGGGTCAAAATGCTTTAAACGAACAAACAAAATTCTTGGCATCCCTTGCCTAAATCATGCTCCTGTTTGACTCTAGCTGAGAACATTGTGCTTTTCCCAGACTTTCATGTGTTCAGCTTGTAATTCTGCTGCTGCATCATTTCAGAATACCTACTTTTGTAGTTCATTCTATAGCGGCTTTACCGTTCTGCAAACCATCTTGGACATGGGATGATATGCAAATCCCTGAATTAAATAATAGAACTTGACTTTCACTGTCTGATCGGGTTCATGAGTAGCTTAAGTCCTGGACTTGGGGAAAGTAGGATTCATTCAATCGAAATCAGAGCTTCAGGTTTTCACAGGATTTCTAAAAGGGACACACGTGGATGCTCATAGGTTCAGCAAGCATGCCTGGTTCTACAAAATGAACTTTAAAGATCACAGATCTGGCACTTGTTGGCATGAAACAGCCCTGAATCGGTCACACGGATCCTTGGGATTTTTACTGGCAAAATCAGTTGAGTCATAAAAATTACTGATGTGGGACTTGTCACAAAATCTTGGATCTGGGGCATGGATTTAATTAGGTTTTTTTTTTTTTTTTTTTACTATCCAACAACCAGAGTTCTCTGGATTGTTTCCAACAAACAAGAATACAATATAAAAATACAAACAACATTAAAACATCGTTTAAACGGTTCTCACAGAAAGTTTAAAACCAAATTAAAATGCATATAAATGCTACAATGCCTATATGAATTTGATTAATTCCTGTTTAAGGGATTAATTCCTGTTAATTCCTGTTAATTAATTCCTGAATTAATTAATTCCTGTTCCTTGTTAGCTACTTAACCTGTTTAAGCGGCTAACAAGCCCCAGTGAACCGACCGAATGCCCTGCAGCACAGTCTTCGCTCAGAGGCAAAATGAAGCACGAGTTGGCACCAGGCGGACCTCAGTGGGGAGGTCCTTCCATAATGGGGTCACCACTCAAAAGGCCCTTCTCCTTCTTGCCCCCAGCCCAGCCTCTCTTGGAGGCGGCCGTCAGAGGCATGGCCCAGAGGCTGATGGCTGCGTCTGGGCAGGTGGCAGTCAGGAAAGATGCTCCATCAGGCATTACGGTTCCGAGCCTTGTAGGGCTTTGTGGCTCAAAACCAGCACCTTGAACTGTGCTTGGAAGCATCTAGGCCGGCAGTGGGCCAGAACTGGTGTTATTTCCTCGGCCCATCCGGTCCCACTTATTATTCTGCCGGCTGCGTTTTGCACAAGCTGAGGCTTCTGAGCCGTCTGCAAGGGCAGCCCCACGTGGCTCCCCCCCCCCCCCGCAACAATTCCATTTGGAGGTTTTTGGCCTGGCTGATGGGCAAGCCCTCCGTGTTTCCTCCCCTCCCCTGCAGTGGCATCCTACCCATCGCAAGAGGAAGAGGACTGCCCCACACCCCAGCACTGGGTTGGAGCCGCTCGCCTCCAGATCAGGGAGCTGAGCCCAGGGAGGGTACCACTTCCAACTACTCCTCTGCTTCTGCAACTCTCGCCTCTGCATCTCCTTGTTTTTCCCTGTGCAATTTCACTGTCTTTTCCTGATTACCACACTCAGAGATGCTTTGCCAGCACCCCCCAAATGCTGGTGGGGCCGAGACTGCAAGAATATTCCAGCGAGTGGACTCCTGGTTGGGCTGGGTCACTTCCCTTCTTGGGAAGGAGCAGCGGACAAGTTAGACCTGCCGCAGATCCAGGTCTCCCGCTACTGAAGTTGGTGGCTTTTCCATCCGTGTTGAAATCTGCAACGATCCAGAGGCATCTGCAGGATGGAGGCGGGGGGGGGGGGGCTGCAGAGATGCGCCCAACCATCTGCTTTTCCCCGCTGCCTCTTCCGCTTCCGCCTGCCCCGCACCCCGGGCTTCATTAACCAACATCACTCCACCCCTTAAGTGCGTTTTTCACCTCCTTTCACTTCCGATAGCATGGAATGCGTTTGATGGCCCAGGACCTTCTGCAAAGTGCCCATAAACTGGTTGGACTCAGGAGCCACTGAGTCCAACCCTGCCAAGTTTTTCACTGAAAGACATGCGCACGCGTGTGTGAGCCCCACCAAGAGCCCTGATATGGGCTATCGCAGTGGCATCTAACTTCATTAAATGAATAAGTGTATGGCTATCCACTAACTGGACAGAAGTCTGGGGTGTGCACTCAGTGTAACGATCTCCTGGCTCTCAAGGGACAAATTGAGCCAGTGTGGTGTAGTGGTTAAGAGTGCGGGACTGGGACTCAGGCGATCTGGATTCAAGTCTCCGCTCAGCCATGGAGCCAACTGGGTGACTTTGGGCCAGTCACAGACTCTCAGCCCAACCTACCTCACAGGGTTGCTGTTGTGAGGATAAGATGGAGGAGGAGAATGATGTAAGCTGCCTTGAGCCCTTTGTAGGAAAAAGACAGGATATAAATCGATACATAAATAAATATTCACCCCCCCCCCCAAAGCCAAGGATGCCGACCTGGAGAAGCTGAGAGTTTGGTAGACAAGTGCTTCAGGGACCGAACCACTGTGCCCAAATCCCTTGGCAGGAGCTCCTGGATCGTCATGGAGAATGGGGGTCTCAGGGAAGGGAATCATCCTGGACAACAGGGAAATGGTCTCTTAGAAGGGGCCGTCGCTTGAAAGATGGAGAAATAACCTCTCGCACCCTGAGTGCATTATGGGAGTGGGAGAGCCATTACACACACACAGCTGGATCTGTGATAGGGGCACAGCCCTTGTGGTTAGTTGGTTGTGCACATCTTGTGCCACCCAGGAAGTTGTGTAGCTAGTGCTGGAGGGAGCCTGTTGTTGTGGTCCCTGCCAGGGCCAATGATGTGGGGGGATCCTGGACGTTCCTACTTTCGACAGCCGTTAGATGTAACCCAATGGGGAGAAAACCTTTCCTGCCCCTCCTGAAGGGTAACCCTGGCATGGATATCTGGTATTGATTTATTTATTTATCTAGCATTTTTATATGCTGTCCCATTGCTTAAAGCCTCGGGACGGCTCACATAAATAAATAAACACAATACAAATACAATTAAAACCTGGAAACATCCTGGCTGCACAATTAAAACCTGTAGATATCAAGTGTTGTTAAAATATTGTTTAAATAAAAAAGTCTTAGCCTGGCGCCAAAAACAAATGACGGCGCCAGGCGGATCTCTCTGGGAAGTGCATCCCACAGATGGGGTGCCACCGCAGAGAAAGCCCTCCTCCAGGTACTTTGCCTCCTGATGTCTCTCACAGAGGGCTCCCAGAGGAGGGCCCCTGCTGCCAATCTCAAGGGGCGGGAGGGCAAATAAGGAAGCAGGCGTTCCTTTAGGTATCCAGGTCCCAAGCCGTAGACTCTGCTGGCAGCCTCCCCCCCACCCCACCCCCCACACACAATTAGCTGGATCTTCCCATCAACTACCAACGTTAGCAGCTTTTGAAATGACAGCCACAGCCAGCCTCTCCCGTGAAAAGCACAAGCCTCCACACGACTGGTGCCAGAAAACTCCCCCTGGAGAAGAGAAAGCGACTCAGCTGCGACCCCAGCCAGCACTAAGCCGCAGGAGAACTTGGGAGGGCTGCTTTCTGGGTAAAGCTCTGGGTGGACAAACCAGACTTGGAATGTGGGGAGCAGAGGACCTCATGCACCCTTCCTCGGAACCAGGTGAAAGCCCTTGTGCTGCGAGAAAGACGAACCCAACAGCTTTCAAAAGACACATCGTTAACTGCCGAGCTCCAATAAACAATCATTTATTAAAGAGCTAAGACAAGGGGAGGTTTGGAAAGGAGATGCCGCCTTTCAGTGAGTGAAACACCATTGACTAGCTAACACGGGGTTAACAGGAAGCCTACGATCCTTAGAATGACTTCAGCCAGAGCAGCTTCCAGGGCAGAGCCTGTGCTGCAATGGCACAAGTGTTTCTCCGAGCAATTAAAAAAACCAGGCACTTAAAAGAGTCGATAGGAGGCAGGACCATCTTCATTTGTAGAGTGCAGAGATCTGGAACATCAAGACAGAGGAAAACAATTCTCCAACAACATGCTATTTTAGAGGACTCGTGGGGGCAGGGGAAAGGCAGATCCAATGAACTGAGGAGCCTGCAAGTTCTTTCCCCCAGGTATTTCCTGAATACATTTCTTCAGAAATTGTTGGTTCATGCACGGGAGAGGAGAGGAGGAAACAGGGGCCATTTTCCTCCCACAGTTCCTTGCGCACTCTGTGACCACTACTGCGCAAAGTGTTCTGCAGACCGCTTTGCACGGAGATGTTTTCCAGATCTTCCACTCCTTGAATGCTATTTAGATCGGATGTACCTGCGTCAGTGCTGAGCAACTCGTGGTCCTCCAGATGCCTTGGCCTAACCCTCCCATCAGCACTAGCCAGCAGAGCCCGTGATGAAGGTTGATGGGAATGTTGGGCCAAAACATTACTCAACCTATGTTTCATTACTATATTTAGACCTATTTCTCTCTATCTATGTATATTTAGTCAATGAAGCTGGAATAGCTAGTCTTCCTTAGTTTTATGTGCTGTATAAATATCAGTATTTTTCCCAAAGAGCCCAAGATAGCATTTTGGCTTGGGGGTGGGGGCAGATTTGGCTTGGGGGTGGAGGCAGATCAACATTTTGGCTTGGGGGTGGGGGCAGATCAACACAAAGGCTGCATCCAGCTCACACTGAATTGCTTTCCCTCGTGTGGGTGCCAGGTTGATTTATGTCCACGAGTGACACTGCACTGACAGAAGCCTTGTTCTGGACACACAAAGAACCCAAGTTAGACACGGCTGCACAAACGGACGTGCATCACACTGACGCAATCTGCTGTGCAACTGCCCGCACACAAGGTAAGCGCTTACGGGACCAGCTTGTGGGATGACGCCACTAGACGCTGCCCACTGGTTAGCAGGGTGGCCTGCACTCCTCCCCACTGACGTCCGTCTCGTCAGCTTTGGACACACACCGGTCCCATTTGCACAGAGGTGGAACGAGTGGGGAACCTACGGCCAGACGGACAAGTGAAGCTAACTGCTGGGAGTGAGCAGGGTGGCAGTCCGGGCCAATCATCCCCACAGACTGCTGACTGTATCCCAGATGATCCGGAGGCAGGAAGGGAGACAAGTTTTGGTCTGACTGTGGAAGACGGGCAAGGCCAGGGTTCTGAGAGGGAGAGGTCCAACCGTTTGCTAAGCCGGGCAGTTTCTGGAAACGACCCAGATGCACAGCCAGTGAGAGGGGTCTCTGCGGATGAGCAATTCCTAGACACAGACTAGGTCTCCTTGTGCTCGTGACCCTGTGGCAAGGCATCAGCAGAGACGGGAGGCCCAACTCACGGAGCAGTGTGCAGAGAACGCGTCAGAGAGGCCCTCCAGGGGATGGGGCCCAGGCATGCTCATAAGGAGAGTTCCTGGAGGTCAGCACCAAACTGGGTTCAACAAGCCACTCTCTGCATGCTCAGAGATCCATTCTGGAAGATGCGCATTTGGAAAATGAAAGAAAAGTTTGCAAGGAAAAAGGTCTGTGGTTATTGCTTGCAGGAGGAACGTCGGCTCGCGAGAGCTAGTTTGTGGAACAATGCCAAGGTATTGCCCACTGATAGCTATGAGGCCTGCACTCTGCTCCACTTAGGCCTATCTCGTTTACACTGAACACATGCCAATCCAATTTGCTCCGAAGATCAAGTGCAGAAACTACAGACAAACAGGCAAGTGGGGCGAGCTGGGCAAAGGGAGCAAGCAGAACCAGACTCTTAGGGGAAGCAAGGCTGGAGTAGCTACTGCTGGCGAGCCTGTCAAAAGCCTGTTTCGGATTCCTTTTTCAGGGGAGGCTGGGGGGCCAGAGGGGGCAGGCCACCCAGAGGCCCAGTGGCCCCAGCCAGCCTTGCATCCCATCAACGGAGGAGCAACTACAGCAGAGGATGCGAAGAAGCAGCCAAACCCAGCGCAAGAGGGCAACCAAAAAACCCCACCCTCAGTCCAGGACGTATCGCAGAAAAAGTCACACCGGCTTACACAAGTGTCTTGAGAAGACCCCTCCACACACGCCTCCATCCTTGTGGTAGCACAGAATCTGAATGTCACCCATCACAGTCAACGTTGATCGACCACAAGTGGGCGTGGTTTTCTGAAGTCACATGACCTCCTGCTCTAAGCTGGCTGCCGCTGAATTTCTAGCTCATGTAATGCCAAGAGAGAGTTTCAGCCATGCTTTGAAAGGTCGAGAAAGCTGGTCCCAAGTGTGAATTCCGTATAGCTTACTAAGGGTCAACTGGCCAAGAGAACCCACTTCCTCAGCTACAAGATGCTCTCGTCCAAGACCAAGTCCGTCAAAAGAGTTGTGTTGGGTCTGAAGATTCACTCATTGCTAGGATTGGCAGGTTTCCCCACTGTGTGTATTCTCTGATGCGATTTGAGATGTGTGTTGCGACCAAAACTCTTTCCACACTCTGCGCACTGATAGGGCTTTTCTCCTGTGTGTATTCTTTGATGTCGTTTAAAGTGTGTCCTGTGTCCAAAACTTTTTCCACACTCTGAACATGTATAGGGCTTCTCACCTGTGTGAATTCTTTGATGCAGTTTCAGGTATGTGCTGGAGCTGAAACTCTTTCCACATTCTGAGCATTTATATGGTTTCTCTCCTGTGTGAATTCTCTGATGTCCTTTCAGGGCGGCACTTTGACTGAAGGTCTTTCCACACTCAGTGCATTTGTAGGGCTTCTCCCCTGTGTGTATTCTTTCATGTACTTTGAGGCTTCTGCTGTCAATGAAGCTCTTTCCACACTCTGAACACTTGTAAGGTTTCTCCCCTGTATGAATTTTTTGATGCGCTTTGAGAATTTTACTTAGTTTGAAGCTCTTTCCACACTCGGCGCATTTATATGGTCTCTCGCCAGTATGGATTTTGTGATGCAACTGAAGATCTGACATGCGACGAAACTGCTTTCCACATTCAGAACATTTATGTGGCTTCTCTCCAGTATGGATTCTTTGATGAATTTTAAGACTGGTGGTCTGACTGAAGCTTTTCCCACATTCTGAACATTTAGTGCGCTCCTCCCCTGTATGGATTCTTTTGTGCGCAGTAAAATGTGAACTGTGACGGAAACTCTGCCCACATTCTAAACATTTATAGGGCTTTTCCCCTGTGTGGATTCGCTGATGGGATTTAAGGTTTCCACTGGAACTGAAGTTCTTTCCACAGTCAGAGCATTTATACGGCTTCTCACCAGTATGAATTTTTTGATGTGACTTCAACTCAGCTTTGCGACCAAACAGCCTTCCACACTCTGCGCATTTAAATGGTTTCTCACCTGTGTGAATTATCTGATGTGCATTGCACTGTGAGCTCCGGCTGAAACATTTTCCACACACAGGACATATGTAAGGCTTCAAGCATGGATGGATTTTTTGATGTGCACTGAAGTCTGAACTATGATTGAAACTCTTCTCACACTCTGAGCATTTATAGGGCCTCTGCCCTTTGTGAATCCTTTGATGTGATATCAGAAACGTGCTCTGAAAGAAGATCTTTCCACACAGTAAACATTTATACAGTGTTTCTCTCGTGTGAATTCTTTGATGCAAATTAAGGTCTGATTTGGAACTGAATTGCTTTTCACACTGAGAGCATTTATGTGGCTGCTTCTCATTGTGATTTATTTGATGTCTTTTAAGGTTTGAGCTCCAGCAGAAGCTTTTTCCACATACAAAACATTTATAGGGCTTCTCTCCTGTGTGAAGTCTTTGATGAAAGGTAAGGCTTATACTATGAGTGAAACTCTTTCCGCACTCCAAACACGTATAGGGCTTCTCGCCTGTATGAGTTCTCTGATGCCATTTAAAACTTATGGCATGAGTGAAACTCTTTCCACACTCAGAACACTTATAGGGCTTCTCCCTCGTGTGACTTCTCTGATGGGATTTGAGGTACAGGCGGCGACAAAAGCTCTTTCCACACTCTAAGCATTTATAAGGCTTCTCACCTTTGTGAACTATTCGATGCCATTTAAGCTTCCTACTGTCACTGAAACTCTTTCCACACGCTGCGCATTTAAACGGCTTTTCCCCTTTGTGAATTAGTTGATGTCTTTTAAGGTCCGAGTGCCACCTAAAGCCTTTTCCACACTGCGAACACTTATTGGTCTTTGTCCAAGTGTGATTTCTTAAGTACAAAGTAAGACTCACGCTATGACCAAATTGTTCACCGTATGCTGAGCCTACATAAGATTTCTCTGTTGGGCGAATCTTCTGAGGCTTTTTCAGGACGGTGCTCTGACAGAAGCTCTTTTCATACTCTGAATATTCATACGGTTTCTGCCCTGTGTGAATTCTTTCATGTGACTTTAAGTAAGTGCTCTGATGGAAGCTCTTTCCACACACCAAACAGGTATAGGGCTTCCCCCCGGTGTGTATTCTCTGATGTCTTTTGAGGTTTGAGTTCCAATAGAAGCTTTTTCCACACTCCAAACATTTGTAACTCTTCTCCCTTTTGCGATACCTTTGATACAAGGCAAGGCTTAAACCATGACTGAACTGGTTTTCACTGTCCAAGCATTTATAGGTTTTCTCTCCTATGTGATGCTCAGTAAGATAGATCTGCTGAGTCACGCTTTTTCCGCAGCCAGAGCATATCAACAGTGTTTCCTTACTGTTACTATTTCCTCTGCTTTCTTCATGACCTTCTTCTGGCATTGGAATTACATGTAAGTCAGCCTGTTCTTCACCAATGGCCCTGTTCTTCCACATCTGGTTCTTTTCAGCTTTCATTCTATGTTCTTCAGCCTCTTCATTACTCTCCATCTCATCACCTAAAAAATGAAGAAAAAGATGTTCAAGGAAGAGAAGAGCCACAATCTAAGGGAACACTGCTTTGACTTCAGGAATGTGCGTGCTAAGAAACTGAGATCTATAAATGCAGGGCATCAATGCAGGGAGTACGTTTGTCAGGGCACACGGTCAGAAAGGAAAAGGTGGAGAAGCACTTTTTTGCCACACCCTCTTACCGTGAACACCCACAGAAGCCAGAGATCTTGGACTCTGGCTTTTCTTTGGCATAATTTGAGGAGAAGCCTGGAGCAGCAAACATGAAAAGAAGAATTTAGGAGGGAAAGAGAAAGGGACTCTACCGAAGAGTGTGGCATTAATAAGCATGGTTGTCAAGATTTACATACAATTCACACATGGACGTGCATGTGGGGCAATAAAAAAGGATTATGAGATTTACAGTGCAATTCTGTATAAGCCTACTCACAACTGAGGATCTAATACAGCTTACTCTCTGGAAAGTAGGTACTCATTGGCATTCTGAACGAGCACTTACGTCCGTATATGCCCGACCGCCCTTTGAGATCTGCTGGAGAGTCCCTTCTCCGGGAACCCTCCATGAAAGAAATTAGGAGAGTAAGTACTCAGAGGAGGGCTTTCTCTGCGGTGGCGCCCAACCTATGGAATTCACTCCCCAAAGAGGTCCACCTGGCACCATCGTTACTGGTTTTTCGGTGCCAGGTAAAGACCTTTTTATTTAAACATCATTTTAATTGTTAAAATATGATCTGGCCAGGGCAACTTCTTCTTCCTTCTCTTTTCTCCTCCTATATTCTTTATTTACTTATTTTATACTGATAATTTTAAATTTTATATTATTATGTTTGTAACTCAGTGTATTTTTTGTATTTAATGTAATTTATTATGTTCTATTGTATTTCAATGTATTTTATTGTGTTGTAAGCCGCCCCGAGGCTTCGGCAAGGGGCGGCATAGAAATGTTATAATAATAATAATTATTATTATTATTCTAAATTATGTTACAGTGAAGTCAGAAACTACTAAAAGGAACAGAAACAAACGAATGCATTTTAAAATAAATTATGTGCCACTAGCATTTGAGATAAGCCCGAGTTACTAATTGGTTTTAGCGTGGGTCACAAGGCTGCCATCTGTCCAGGTCATCCCCATCTTTGGGTGTCTGCCAGGGCTGCCACCCTGTGCTCTGAGACTAGCTGCCATTTTGTGCTGCCATCGCAACACAAGGGGCATTGTGGGGAATCAACTCGGCAGCTTGACATAGCTGTACCTGGCAATGCTTGGAGGTTGCAAGAGGAGGAAGGGGACCAGGGGAGGATGCTTTGCCCAGGGCTCCCTCAAGCCTGGAACTGGCCCTGTTGATCCACAAAGCGGGGCTCAGATAGCTTCAGCCTCCCCCTCTCATACACGCTTTTACAAAGAAAGCCACCCAGGTAGGATGGAGACAGTGTGAGCTGGACACAACCTTGCCATTGGAAGGGGAGGCCCGTCCTCAGTGACTTCAGATACTGTCAAAGCATCCACCAGCCTCACCAAGAACGCTTCCCAAAGCCAGAAGTCTCCCTCCCTCCCTCCCTCACCAACACACACCTGAGCAGCTACTGGCTGATCCCTCTAAGTCTGCTGAATCCTGGGCAAATGGACCTTCCCCTTTCTCCAGCCAGGAGATGAGGCCAGGCTTGGGAGCTTTGTTGGGGGGAAAAGAAAAGAAAGACGAGGGTTACTTGATCATGAAATACCCATTATGAAATAGCCATCAGCTTTAGGCAGCCTGCCCAATACATGGGGCTGACAGAAGCAACAGTTCACCAACTTCCAAGAAGGCTGCAGTTGCTCACCTGTGTACTGCAATGTGAAACGGCTACTCTTGCCTTCAGCAGCATCAAATAAGGGTGGAAAGGAATCCTCATCCAGAGGAGCGGCATTCCCATAATTCTCTTGCATGACATCCATGGTCAGGGCCCTCTGGCCTGGACTGAGCAGTACACTCCTTGGAGAAATCAACAGATCCCACCTCAAAAGACCCAGGACTCTGAAAGAGCAAGAAAAAAGGATCATCCCTATGCAAACAGTTCCATCCACAACACTCACACCTTTGCTCATAACCAGAAATTAAAACTTCTGATCAAAGAGGAGCACTCCACAGCTTGGAAGTGCTCCTCGACCCAAAGCTGTCTTTGGAAGCTCAAGGGACTGTGGTGGCAAGGAGCGCTTTCCTTCAGCTTCAGCTGATCCATCAACTGCATCCCTACCTGGAGGACGACTGCCTAGCGACAGTGACACATGCATTGGTTACTTCCCGATTGGACTTCTGTAACATGCTCTATGTGGGGCTGCCCTTGAAGACAGTCCGGATACTTCAGATGGTGCAAAACAGAGCAGCCAGGTTGCTGATGGGGACTGGGCGTTATTCTCACATAACCCCAGTCCTCCACCAGCTTCACTGGCTTCCCACTGAAGTCCGGGCTCAATTCAAGGTGCTGGTTATTACCTACAAAGCCCTTAACGGCTTGGGACCTGGATACCTAAAGGAACTCCTGCTTCTATATATGCCCTCCCGCCCCTTGAGATCGGCGGCAGAGGCCCTCTTCCAGGAACCCTTTGTGAAAGACATCAGGAGAGTGAGTACCTGGAGGAGGGCTTATTCTGCGGTGGCGCCCCACTTATGGAATGCACTCCCCAGAGAGGTCCGTCTGGCACCGTCGTTATTTGTTTTTCAGCGCCAGGCCAAGACCTTTTTATTCAATCAATATTTTAATAATTGTTAATATTATTTATTGGTTTTAACTTTTTTTAGCCAGGTTGAATCCAGATTTTATATTTTATATGTATGATTGTTTATTTATTATGTTGGAAGCCGTCCCAAGGCTTATGCAACTGGGACGGCATATAAAAACTCCAAACAAACAAACAAACAAATAACCAGAAGTTTTGCTACAAGAGGCAAAATTTCACATGGGATTGTTCTTTGCTTTACTGTAAAGAGACACCTACCAATTTGCTCAAGTATTGGCAAATAATAGACTATCATTTGTGGGAAGAATTTATTATAGCAACCTCAAAGGACAGACATTATGATGCTCCTCATAAAAACATCCTTCCTTCCTTCCTTCCTTCCTTCCTTCCTTCCGAGAGAGAGAGAGAGAGAGAGAGAGAGAGAGATCTTCTATACTGTCCCATTCGCTGAAGCCTCGGGGCAGCTCACAATCATAAATAAATAAATACAATATAAAACAGTATAATTTAAGTCGCCCTGGCCAAAGAATAAAATAAATAAATAGTATTAATAATTAAAATAACATTTGAATAAAAAGGTCTTGGCAAATAACGATGGCGCCAGGCGGACCTCTCTGGGGAGCGCATTCCATAGATTGGGTGCCACCGCAGAGAAAGCCCTCCTCTGGGTACTTACCCTCCTAATATTCTTCACGGAGGGTTCCCAGAGAAGGGCCTCTCTCGCTGATCTCAAGGGGCGGGCGGGCATATATGGACATAAGTGCTCCTTCAGGTAACCAGGACCCAAGCCGTTAAGGGCTTTATAGGTCATCACCAACACCTTGAATTGGGCCTGGACTTCAGTGGGGAGCCAGTGAAGCTGAGGGAGAACTGGAGTCATGTGAACATAGCGCCCAGTCCCCGTCAGCAGCCTGGCAGCTCTATTTTGAACCAACTGAAGTATCCAGACTGTCTTCAAGAGCAACCCCACATAGAGCATGCTACAGAAGTCAAGTCGGGAAGTCACCAGCGCGTGTGTCACTGTCACCAGGCAGTCGTTCTCCAAGTAGGGGGGCAGCTGGTGGATCAGCCGAAGCTGAAGAAAAGCGCTCCTCGCCACCGCTGTCACCTGAGCTTCCAGTGAAAGCTCCGGGTCGAGGAGCACTCCCAAGCTGCGGACCTTGTCCCTAACAGGGAGTGCAACCCCATTCAGGACTAAATTCAATTCTCCTTCCCCGAAGCCCAATCCGCCAACCAACAGGACCTCCATCTTGTCTGGACTGAGCTTCAGTTTATTGGCCCTCATCCAGCCCATTACCTCGGCCAGGCACCAGTTCAGCACAGCCACTGCCTCACCTGGATTGGTTGAAAAAGAGAGGTAGAGCTGGGTATCATCAGCGTACTGATGATTCCGCAGCCCACACCTCCTGAGGACCTCTCCCAGCGGTTTCATGTAGATGTTAAACAGCAAAGGGGACAAAATGGACCCCTGCGGTACTCCATGGCA